TCATAAAGTTCCAGAGTTATACTTAAATAACACACCTATTAAAATATTAAAAGATGCGAAATTCTTAGGTTTAATTTTTTATGAGCCCATATTCGACCCCATGTTAAATACTTTAAAAAATGCCCGAGGGCCTTGATTTGCTGAAAGTTGTCTCTAATACAAAGAAAACCCTCCTCAAACTCTCCCGAGCACTTATACAATCCAAACTGGATTATGGCTCCATCGCCTATGGTGCAGCCTGCAAAAGCAACCTTTAACTGAGACTATGTCTTTGATCTTTCCGAATTTCCCCTATTGACAGGCCAGGCCGATGCGCGATCTTTAAAACATCGTCGCATCAAATTATGCAATATGTCTAAAAAGGTTACTCTAATGAATCCAACCCTGCTTATAACAGTGTTTTTAATCCTCTCTCTGAGGATCTGTATAATAAAAAGTCTTCTCTCAAGGAATAAGATTAAAACCATTCCTTTCTGATGCTGGCATTGAGCTGGATAATATAGCTCCTTCCCGCCTTCTTTCTTCTCCTCTTGGCAATTAGTGAGGCCACATGTTGACCTAACACTGACGACAATGTAAAACCAGCAAAATATAATGAGATGGGTCCATACGACGAAATAGCAGCTCTTAAATAGTTTAATACATATCTCACATATAAATAATGCATAAGTTTCTGACTCGCTGTCGAGCCTTCAGGCTTTTAAAAACATCTAGTATAAACATCAACTTTTAATTCATATTGTTGCATTATTTAATGTTCTTGCTACTGGCCAATACGACATCGTCTTTTGTTGGTTACCCATCCATGTTGGTATAGTTGGTAACACGATAGCTAATGCTGCAGCTAAAGCACTCAACAAAACTGTGACACTACTTCTTATCCCATACAGTGATTAAAAGTCATTACACGTTACGTGCGTGATCTAATGCAAAAGACATGGGTGAGTTAATATCTAACGTCGCATTGGCAATGTTTCAGGCATATCGTGACAAGAACAAATTTGAATATGTATATACAGTCAAATCCCGATGAGTCGAATGTCGGTGTCTCGAATATTATGCATAACTCGAAGTATTATAAAACCTGTCGTCAAAGGACAGTAGCACAACTAGACTATCACAGTTGGAATTAAAACTAGCATGTGAAGTTAAAACTAATAGCACTATTTGGACAATACATAATAATAGAAACAGGCTATAGATCGCCAACAACTGAAGGTGGATCACCATACTAACGACCATGGGGACTTACAGTGCCTTTCCTACCTGCATGGACCCTATCTGTATTTACACCATCCCCTCAGCCGCTGGCGATGGCAGGGAAATTTAGCCATAATTTAGAATAACAAATACTCTACGCTGAAAAAGCATGGTTGAGCTAAATTGGCTTTACGTACCCTCTCAGGAGGACAATAATTGTACGATACTTTAACCCCCTTTGAGGATACAGCCACTTACAATTGCAGTTGCTGCAAAAGAAGTGGGATACCCAAGTAGTTGTCAATAAACTGCATGAAATTAAACCAACTATTGGTTATACCTACTTGTGTTGTCAGTCCAGATTTGAGGAGGTCATTATACAACGTTGTTGTATTGGTCATTTAAGTGAGTGAGTGAGTGAGTTTAGTATTACACCGCTGTTAGCAATATTCCAGCAATATCATGGCGGGGAACACCAGAAATGGGCTTCACACATTGCACCCATGTGGGGAATCGAACCCGGGCCTTCGGCGAGACGAGTGAACGCTTTGACGACTAGGCTACCCCACCGCCCATTGGCCATTTAAGATATGCACTAGTACATTTGCTTAAAGGTGAGGATCCTCCATTTTGTATCCCTTGTGATGAAAGAATCAAGATCAAGTATGTCCTGCTTGACTATTGATTTTTCCATCACAGAGGGACAAATATTTCAGTGTAGGGTGACATTGCTATAAAAAGGCGGGCATCAGACCGCATTACCCTCGAGAGGAGCATACAACTTATATTATCGAATTCGTAATAGAAATTCAACTGACTGATACATTTTGAGTCACATGCCTTTTTAGAATATGTGTCATTTTGATGTATGACTAGGTTTGTTGAAATTGCTGAAGGGATGGTGTAAATCCAGCTAGGATCCATTCAGGAAGCAAATGTATGGTAAGCCGCCATAGTCTCTGGTAAGGTGATCTACCTTCAGTTGGCAATTTATAGCTTGTTTTTATTTTGTATTGTTCTCTTTGGCTTGTAGTGCATCGGACCGGACACACATACAATGTAAATGCTCCGGCCTTTCAGACAATTTCTTGCAGCATACAGGTCTGTGGATATAGGTTGGCAAACATGTCACTCAACTACTCCATGCGAAATTTTGGTTAGTCAGTGCAGAAGCTAAACCCAAGCGGCAGACAATATAGGCTTCACGTGGGTAACGCAGTGACCTAATCAGCATGCTGGGACCAATTACATACTCCAGAGAACAATATTGATATCACTTAGACATGCTCGTGATTCTCATTTGGCAACTGAAGTGTTACATCATGCTCGTCAATGCAAGACAAGAAACCAGCCAGGCGTGGAAAAGGCATTGGATTTAAAAAAAGAAAGTTGTTACTGGAGTATGTGAACGAAAACAATATCTACCCCTATACTGTAGGAATACAACAACTAATCTTATTCAAGTGCATCCTCGAATTGGGAAGTCCAACTATTCAGAGTGCTTGTCGAATGCAAGATCTGCTGTAAGGAACAAAACACCAGGCCCCGATTTCTCGAAACAAACTTAAGTCAGAGTTTTGACTTAAGTTCGAGTTTTTACTCAAATTTGAGAAAACGCAGGAAAATGCATTTCACAGAATGAACTGAATCGGTATTAAACTCAAACTATAGAAGATAATTTGAGTTTAGTGGATAGATTACTTTAGTTTTTGGGCTTTTATATTTAAAAAATGAAGTTGAGTTAAAAATTCAGCTGTTCCAAATTGTGAAATCAGTTTGAGATTTGAGTAAAAACTTAAGTTTGTTTCGAGAAATGGGGGCCAGAGATTTGTGATTTCATAACTGAGGAAGACGTTGACATGTTGTAACAGAAACCTGACCGGAAACAACCGGAGATGAAGCCAAGACTGCAGAGCTATTACCCCCTGGTTATAGTTTGAAGCATGTTCCTCGGACATATACAGCAGGACGTGGTGTCCTTGTTCTGCACATGGAAAGTGTGAAGAGTACAACATATTGCAAACCAGAGAAAGGATTACAAATCGTTTGAGATGTTGGAAGTAATAGTCATTCTCCTCGAGGAAACAGTTAGATTAGTGTGTATTTACAGACCTCCTCCATCTAAAACTAACATGCTGTCTTTTCCTATGTTTATTGATGAATTTGAACGTTTTTTTGATAATGTTAATGCTCAAAAAGGACAACTCATGATTCTGGGAGACTTTAATAGTCACTTGGATGATACCTCTGGGACAATTGCAAGACATTTATTCGTCTTCTTCATGCCCATTGTCCAGTTCAAATGATATAAAAATCCACCCACCAGAATGGCCATATGGTGATAACACAACAGAATGAGACTTGATCATGGAGATTGCTGTAGTTGACAAGCAGCCGTCTGACCATTTTCAGGGGGTTCGAACACACCAACCCTTTTGAAAATGACTTAAGACCACATTGAAGATTTTTTTTTTGCGTTGGCGGAGCCAATGGGGGATTCAGGGGGTTCGAACCCCCCTTTCAAATTTCTGGATCCGCCCATGATATTAGATTGGTCATTCAGGACAAAGTTTGACCCATAAACCACCCCCTTCTGGCATAGGACTCCAGGCAAATACAATCACATGAATTTCAAAATTTAAAACCCAGATATGATATCATGCTGTTAGAGAATTAAACAAAACAAGTTTCTTGCACAGGGCTTGACATGACCACCCGATTGATAGACCCATTCTACCACCCGTCTAGGTGACGAAGGGACAAAGGGAACACATTTCCTGACTCCTTTGCCTTCAGCCATCAGAATCCCATCCTCCACCCTCACAGGCGCAACCCGCGAATTCGCGCAGCCCAATTCGGCCACCTCTTATGAGGTGCTGTGGACCACACGGGGGAAGAACTGTTAGCGTTATCCAGCACCCTCCAAGAGGAGGCTACTCTTCGTGAGAGCCATATATCTGTTAACGGCATACATCAAAATGCAAACATCAGCAGCAGCAGAGTGAGAAGCAGCGTTTTGAATGTGGCAGATGGGGTCTTCGAGAAGCCATATCACCAGAACGTTCGGCTGCACATGTCATGAGACATGAAATGTCAACCAGGCTTGCCAGACATCTGACAGTTCCAGAACTGGAAAACAGAGTGGCCACCCCGCAACATGACCATCAGTTGCGCATTTTCTAACCTGCGTTAGGGGCGGTGGGGTAGCCTCGTGGCTGAAGCCACAGCATCAGCAGGAACACAGTGATGTGGGCACGTCCTGAACCGTTTGGCACCATTTGGGGGTGACGTCCTGAATCCGTCAACATCAACAGAATCGCCTACGTTGTACAAGGAACATCAGACGCTAACAACGTTGCACTTCCGTACGATATATGTGACCTTTCAGCAAAACGTACACTATGTATTACTTCGAAATCTTTCCGACCGCGTGGACCCGTGAAGATCCGGGGTAGAATAGGTCTTCAGCAACTCATGCTTGCCACAAAAGGCGACTATGCTTGTCGTAAGACGCGACTAACGGGATCGGGTGGTCAGGCTCGCTGACTTGCTTGACACATATCATCGGTTTCCAATTGCGCAGATCTATGCTCATGCTGTTGATCACTGGATTCTCTGGTCCAGACTCGATTATTTACAGACCGCCGCAATATAGCTGGAATATTGCTGAGTGCGGCGTAAAACTAAACTCATTTACTCACTAACTCCGGCCACGTCATTGTTCAGGGGTAAACAACCAAAAACATCAGCTGTGCACTGTCTGTTGTACGTCAGTTCATGTGGTGACATGTTGCACTTACCTTTCCCTTGCGCAATGAAGTCGTTCAGCAGTGAGTGAGGTCTGTCAGAAAAGTTGTCGGCATTCTTTACAATGGCGTCTCGCAAGACGTTGTAGCCGTTGAGGACGATGACTGGTGTGTTGAATATGTACACACTAAAGATGTCCCCATATTGTTGCCTGAGTTTCTTAAACGTGATCCGGGGATCGGAGCCCATGGAGAGGACATTCCCCACAAACGGGAGGAGAGGGGGACCGGGAGGGAGCCCAGAGGGTCGCCGCGTTAACAGCCACAACAAAACTAGCACAGCCACACACAGCAACACAGTTGTAGGACTGAAGGCGAATATGTCCACCATTGCCTGCTGATAAGAGCCAACGATGCGTTTATAAGTGTGCACTATAATACACTGACTGGCAACCGCATGCAGTGGTTTGAATCGGCTGAAGAGTTTGCGTCGGACTCAACACGACAATGCATGTTTACTAAATGCACTATGTGGGTCACCTCCGGGCGAGCTGACATGCAACTATCAAAGGCGTGTGTCCTATTTATTGCAAAAGCGGCAGTCTGCTTGTTCACTTTACAGTTTGTTCAGGGATTCAGGTAAACCTGCAGATTGTATTAGAGTGAGTGTGTATAGGTAGTGATACTGCTTTTTGCAATATTCCAGCAGTATCACGACGGGGACACCATAAAAAGCCTTCACACATTGTACCCATGTTGGGAATCAAACTCGGGTCATTAGCTTGACGAGCGGAAGCTTTAGCCATTAGGCTGCCCCATCGCTTCCATTTCTGGATGAGGTGAGGTGAAATTGGGTTTAAGGTCGTGCTTGAGAATATCATCATTTCTGGATGAAGGAATGTGAAACACTTAATGGTGTTTTTTATGCAGTTGTTAATGGGATGTGATATTTTGTCTATTGGATAGAAAAAAACCCGTTTAATTGTTCAGTTTTAATTTTACGTCTACCAATTAATGTATATATGTTGGCTGATATTCCCCCTATGTTAAGGTGTCATACTCCACCATTCCGGCCGTCTGACCATTTTTGTTATTGGCTCTCACACCTATCACAGTGTGACACGTACGTCAAACTGAAGATATCACTGTGTGTCTTTAGGTAGGGCGCACATTACATCATGGGAGTAGACATTCAGCTCTGAGCAAGACAACATGTGGAAAACTATTGAGAGACTTGAGGATGAAAACATGATTTTGTCAGATAAGGTCGAAAAATTAGAGTCAAAGTCAAGGAGAAACAATCTCATATTCTTTTGAATTAAGGATGAAGAAAAAAATGAAACGTGGTCAAGCTCAGAAGATAAAGTTAAACACTTTTTGTGTAATGAACTACATATGAGTGAGACCGAAGTACGTAACACTCACATAGAGCGCGCTCACATAGAAAACCATAGAAAACCACGTCCTATCACAGTGTTGTTTTCATCGTACAAAAACAGGGAATGAGTATATCAAGCTTCCAGAGATGAGTTACGTGGTAACAAAACATACAGAGTGTCACCCGATTATACACAGTCAGTGAGAGAGACACGCAGAAAGCTAGGAGAGTATGTAAAACACTATAGGGACAATGGCGACGATTGTTACATATCCTATAACAAACTGATAGTAAATGGCGATGTCTATGCTTATGATTGGGGTAAAAAGTCCATCGTTGACGACACTTAGGGTACAGCCAACACACAGACCTCTGGGTCCGGGGACAGGTCTCTAAGTAGCAGACGACAAGTCAACTCCGACGACCCGGATGCCCGAAGTGGCAGTATCCATAAGACTTGGGGGTGCCGCCGAGACCAGTCTATTGAGCAAATACAGATTAGTAAAATACCAGACTCCGATTTTCTAGAATCTATAAAGTTGTTTACATGGAATATTAACGGACTTTTTTCTAAAATCCGGTCAGACAAGAATAATCTGATACATTTGTGCACAAATTATAATATCATGTTTCATAAAGACTTTGGCCAAGAACACTGCAGATTTTGAAACCTTGTTTCCAGATCACACCTGTTTCCAAATCACACACCTGTTTCCAGATCACACCTGTGTCCAGATCACACCTGTTTCCAGATCACACACCTGTTTCCAGATCACACCTGTTTCCAGATCACACCTGTGTCATGATCACACCTGTTTCCAGATCACACCTGTGTCCAGATCACACCTGTTTCCAGAACACACCTGTTTCCAGATCACACCTGTTTCCAGATCACACCTGCGTCCAGATCACACCTGTTTGCAGATCACACCTGTGTGCAGATCACACACCTGTTTCCAGATCACACCTGTGTCCAGATCACACACCTGTTTCCAGATCACACCTGTGTCCAGATCACACCTGTGTCCAGATCACACACCTGTTTCCAGATCACACCTGTGTCCAGATCACACCTGTTTCCAGATCACACACCTGTTTCCAGATCACACCTGTTTCCAGATCACACCTGTGTCATGATCACACCTGTGTCCAGATCACACCTGTGTCCAGATCACACCTGTTTCCAGAACACACCTGTTTCCAGATCACACCTGTTTCCAGATCACACCTGCGTCCAGATCACACCTGTTTGCAGATCACACCTGTTTCCAGATCACACCTGTGTGCAGATCACACCTGTGTCCAGATCACACCTGTTTCCAGATCACACCTGTTTCCAGATCACACCTGTGTCCAGATCACACCTGTGTCCAGATCACACCTGTGTCCAGATCACACCTGTGTCCAGATCACACCTGTGTCCAGATCACACCTGTTTCCAGATCACACCTGTGTCCAGATCACACCTGTTTCCAGATCACACCTGTTTCCAGATCACAACTGTTTCCAGATCATACCTGTTTCCAGATCACACCTGTGTCCAGATCACACCTGTGTGCAGATCACACACCTGTGTCCAGATCACACCTGTGTCCAGATCACACCTGTGTCCAGATCACACACCTGTGTCCAGATCACACCTGTTTCCAGATCACACCTGTTTCCAGATCACACCTGTTTCCAGATCACACCTGTTTCCAGATCATACCTGTTTCTAGATCACACCTGTTTCCAGATCACACCTGTGTCCAGATCACACCTGTTTCCAGATCACACCTGTTTCCAGATCACACCTGTGTGCAGATCACACATGTGTCCAGATCACACCTGTGTCCAGATCACACCTGTGTCCAGATCACACCTGTCCAGATCACACCTGTTTCCAAATCACACACCTGTTTCCAGATCACACCTGTTTCCAGATCACACACCTGTTTCCAGATCACACCTGTTTCCAGATCACACCTGTTTCCAGATCACACCTGTGTGTTTCCAGATCACACCTGTTTCCAGTGTGTGAGACAACGCCGCTTTGAACGAGGACGTTACAGCGGGGGTATTGTTGTCTACGTCGCTAACTCCATTGCCCACAGTTTTAGCAGACTGCATACTGAATGGACAGATTGTGTATTCTTTCTCCACACCAGCCTTGATAAACAAGTTATCTTTGGATTCGTATACGTCACAATTTCAGAGGCATCTGTTAATAGCTATCAAGAAGTTTGTGGTATGGACCTGTTGGACAGTAGACTACTGACCCTATCAACAGAATACCCATCAGCTACTTTCCTCCTTTGTGGGGATATGAACGCACGAACTGGTAGGGAGCAATGTTTCATACAAAACGATGACACGTATTATTTGCCACTTGACAAATTTGAATATGACAATGATGGTTTTGATATTTTACGATTTTCTAAAGATGTTGTGATACATGATGAAGGGAAACAATTACTATCAATATGTCGCAATTTAAATATGAAATATACACAATTATAATTGATTTCAATATCGTATCTAGGAGTGAATCAGACCATTTACCACTGACAGTGGAGATGAGTTTAACCTCTGACACAGGTATACCACGTTACTCGTCCCACTCACGTGCACGCGCACCTCCCGCGAGTGTAGATGACGTGGACAGGTTTGTGTGGAGAGACAGCGTGCGTGGTGAGATCCATCAGTATCTATCTAGTGTAACTGACAAATACTCACTGCAGTTCTATGAGTATTTGAATAAGGACATATATAAAGCCATACATCCATTCAATGAATTATTTAGTGAGTGTTTCAACGCTGTGAACTCATATAGTTCAAAGCATAACAAAGTTGACAGGCTGAATATCAACAACACACAATACAAACCTCAACCCGAGTGGTTCGATCGGGAATGTGAACAACTTAAATGATATAAGTATAAGCTTTTGAATAAATTTAGAAGAAAAACAAAAAATATTGAGCATTGTAGAAAATACCTTGAAGTTTAAAACAGTTGGCCTCATGGCCATGTATACGTAAGAAAGGATGATGATGGACTGTGTGTCTTTGAGTTTGCACTCTATATGGATTGACTAATGAGTGACACTGCGTCAGCAATGGGAGCCGTGCCAGTTTACACTAGCCAGAGGGGTAAACATAGTACTGCAGGACCAAAGGTCCAGAAACTGGTCAGGCTGCCTGATTTAATTTTAACCCGTCCGTTTTCCTACCCTTTTGTCCTGAAAGTTTATTAAATGACCACTGAAACTCTCGTTAAAACAGGTGAAAATGAACTGTGTACCCCTTTCTCAAACCATGTTTTTATAAACCACTCAATCCAGCTTCATTTTTTTAAAAACATTTTTTTTATTCATTCAAAATCAGTAGATACATGTATACAAAGTACAACAACACTTGTACACCGTAGAACAGAAATTCATATGGGTTGGCATTACAGATATTGGGATCTTCATTGGGCTGGGAATGTGTGCAGTAGAGATGACCATTTTCTGTCAAATTGTAATATGTTTTGATTCTTACTGGCAATAAACTTTTCTGTCTTGAAAATATCACTCAATATTTTTACAAATGTATCCAGTGATAACTTATTTTTTTTGATACTTGATATATGGATATATTTTTTACTGGCAAGAAGTATGTGATTCATAAGGTCGTTATTATATCCGCCAATTAAGACTGTATATTTTGTCAGGGTAAAATTTTCTGATGATTTATCTTCAATATATTCTTTCGGTTTCAGCCAGAACGTTTTCACACACTCACATTCCCAATAAACATGTATCAAATTTTCTGACATTAAATTACAAAATGAGCGAAGTTCATCATCTACTAATTTCATTCTCAATAATTCCTTCTTTGTGTAGACAATATTGTAGATAAATTTAAACTGGAAGTCAATCAATTTAGTATCTTTTGTACATCTTCTATATTTTCTAAAAATATCTTGCCATGGAATTGCGATATCAAAGATATTTTGCCATTTTTCACATGTTGATGGTAGGTTTTCAGTAGTTATAAGTTTATCATAGAAATATCTGGATCTCTTTGGTGCTGAAAGTAAATCTATCAGTGATGTGTTAAGATAATGATTATGAACAATCAATAAATTCTTTCTTACAGTTTCTTTCCATTTTTTGTGTATATTTGAAAGAACCTGATAA